GGGATTCTGGGGCCCCTGGATCTTAAACTAGGCCCCCGAGAGTCCTAACCGAAATGCCGCCGCCGCAAAGAAGAGGGGCTAAGGGACCTCTTGGTGCTGGCGATTGGAATCAGAGTGAACATCCCGGGGCCAAGAAGTCAGACACCTTTGCGGTGGGGGATGGGGGGCGGGGGGGGAGTGTCCCATGGTGCAGGGGTCGGGGGTGTTCACCCTGGACAGCAGGAGAGTTGAGGGGCTCAAGGCTCCCCAGGTTTCTCCACGTGATGGGACCATGTTCGCAGCTAGTCTGACATCGGCCGTTCAACTGACAATAACAACGTGATGATTCTGCGAAACCGGATTCTGCAATTTGCTCCATAACCACCCGTGTCTAACAGACGTCCTCCTCATGGCCGGTTCCCCTGCTTCCCTGAGTTTCACACTGAAGTCCTTCGATCCAGCAACCCCACACGACCCCCCCCAAGCAGGCGGGTGTCGCAGAAGACGACCCTGACACTCAGAGATCAGGAGCCATGCCTATGACAGGCCGGCGACGGGCCCGGGAGGAAGGAAGGGGGGCGGGGAGCCAGGAGGCGAGAGGACCTACTGGTAGTCAGCTTTCTTCTCGGAGAAGACCCGCAGGCAGAAGTCCCCGTCCTTGTTGGGCTCGAAGGTGGACGGCACCACCACGTACTCGCCCGGCGGCAGCTTGAAGCGGTTGAGCACCTCCCGCAGGTTGATGTAGGTGTCCGACCGCTCCCGCGCCCGGGTCGTCAGGAAGAACTTCTTGCTCAGGTGGATGTTGGTCTGTCCGGCCAACTGATGGACAAACGGACACAAGTGGGCGTGGAGGGCGGGACGGGGCCCACTCCACGTCGCTCTCGCTGTCGCAACGAGAGGACGTCGGCCTCGTGTAAGGGAAACAGCAGACTTTTCCCTTAAACGCGACAAAGGCCGCCGAGGCCTCCGAGGGACCTCACACGCCCCGAAGGGACTCTCGGGCACGTTAAGCGTCCACGTGGCAGGAAGCTGGGTTTCTGGTCCAAGTCTATGACTTCTCACTGCAGGGTCCACCCTTCCCTGCAGGCTCATTTTTTTAAAATATCTTTTTATTGATTTCAGAGAGGAAGGGAGAGGAACAGGGATAGAGACATCCATGATGAGAGAGAACCATCGATCAGCTGCCTCCTGCACGCCCCCCACTGGGGATGGAGCCTGCAATTTGGGCATGTGTCCTGACTGAGAATTGAACCGTGACCTCCTGGTTCATAGGTCGGCACCCAACCACTGAGCCACACCGGCCGGGCCTTCAGGCGCGTTTTAAGAACACACAGGGCTCGGGAAGAGCCTCCTGTGGTCTCAGGACCAGAGATCGTGCACCCAGAACTCAGTCACACCTGGCCTCTGCCCGCCTGGGGCAGGCAGCCTGAGGTTCCCCATGCTGAGCTCACTCCAGCAGGACAGTGGCCTGAGCCATCTTGCCAGGCCCTAGAGGGGCCAGGGGCCAGCCCCTGCCCACCCGTCACAAGACCCCCAGCTGACAGTCTCAGCCGTTTACGTGTTGGCAAACCTGAGCCCCAGGGCTGGGGGCTGACGCCTGCCAGACGTACCTCCTCCGGAACCTGCAAGACAGAGAAGCGCACGCTTAATTCCGACGCCCAGATGTGCACGGGCACATGCCGCGGGGACTGCCGCCTTTGCTGTCCCTTTCCTGTAGCTTCAGCGGCCGCAACTGCATCGGCACACCCTACTCACACCATCCCACACTGAAAAAACCTCATGCCCAGGCAATAACATCGACAAGCCATGAGCACCATTCCCATTTTGTGGAGCATGAAACTGAGGCACGGAGCTCTGCAGTGACTTGGCTAAGATCACCCAGTCGGCCGCAGCGAAGCCACACCCGCCTCCCACCAGGGCGTGCAGGGCCCCGGGCAGGAGGAAACCAGCAACAGCCCGCCCCCTGCCTGGGGTCCCCTCTCCAGTTCTGGGGGGCTTCCCACGGGGCTGAGAGGAGCGAAGGAGGAAGGAGGAAGGGGTGGGCGGGGAGCACGGAGACGAGAGGACCTGCCGGACGTCAGGGCCCCGCACACACCTCGTAGATGCCGAAGCCGATGGTGTGCATGTCCTCGCCCATCTTGCGCTGCCGCCGCCGGTGCTTCTGGATGAGCCCCACCAGGAAGGTGCAGCCGCGCTCGCCATCCTCCTGGTCCTCGTCCTCCTCCTCCAGCTTGATGAGGTACTGCGGGTTCATCCAGAAGGTGTCTGTGCCAGAGGGCGGGCAGGTCAGGCCGGACGCCTGGCCCTGAGCAGGTGCATGGCCGGGGTATGTGTGTGGAGGGTGAGGGGGGCTCTGCCCTTGTCTCTGGGCACAGAGTGGGGAGAGGCGGGGCTGGCCGCAGACCCTGGGCAGAGGGACCAGCACGGAGGGGGGACTAGTGAGCAGCTGGCAGGGGAGCCCGGGCGATGGTCTGACATAGGCCGTTTCCCTTGCTTCCCTAATTCCCAGGGACCTCAGCTAGAAGTTTCCCTGCAGTTCCCTCTCGCTCGCCCAGGCTGGCTCGCCCTGGAGGTCGGCTTTCTCACCTGGAACGGGGTGGTGAGAGCTGCGGCACCCCTCGGGGTCCCCCCCTCCTGGCTCCAATTAGAGGTCACGGGTGGGCCTGGCTGAGGAGACTCGGGGACTAGCTCCCGCTCCCCTTCTGGGAGCCCAGGCGCCAGAATCCACTCCTGTTCTGTGTCCCCTTGCCCACCCCCCTCCCCAGGTGTCTGCCCTCCCCACCTCCACACCCATTTCTAGAGGGACCTGAGATTCATTCGTGTTTAAGGACAGCCGTGCCGATCGCCTCCCTCACCTAACGGAATAAAACTAATTGTGGAAATGAAGGTGTCCCCGAGGGCGGCACTTGGCAAAGCACCCCTCCGCAGGATGCTGGCAGCCTGGGTTGTAAATGAATGTTACTGGAGCTCAGCCACATCCATGCATGTACGTACGGCCGCCTCCCTCCGGCTACAGCAGTACAGGGAGGAGTGGCCACAGCGAATGCACGGCCCACAAAGCTAAATGCATTTTCTGCCTGGACCGGGAGCGAGTGTGGTCCCTGAGCCAGTGGGCCCAGGGCCTGCCAGTGGCCCTGCAGCTGCCACCTGGGGCTGCACCCCGGAGGGAAGGACTGGAAGCCAGAACCAGAGGTGCCGGCCAGCTGGTCCCCGGCCGACTCCTTGCTCTGGGGCCCAGGTGAGCCGCATGGAGCCCAGTTTCCTTGTTGGTAACAGGCCATCAGTATGGGACCAGGACCCACCACCAGAGTACTCAATGCACTGATGCCACTGCCAGGCGACGGGTTCAAATCCCAGCCAGCTGAGCGGCCTGGGGCAAGTCAAGTGACCTCCCTGCCCTCATCTTGGAGGTGCAGGTGATCCTCGAGGCCCTGCCTCCAGACCTGGCCGTGAAGATGATGTGGAACAATGGGTGTTCCCAGCGCCCGGCTGTGCGCCATACGGGGCAGATGACAACATGACTAGATCCTTTCTGAGGGGCCAGGGGAGAGGAGGCTGGGCCATCGAGGCAGGAGAGCCAGGAGACCCGATGGAGGGCGGAGGGCCGACCAGATGAGAAGTCAGCCCTTGCTTACCCCGTCTGAGCAGGGCCCATCAGCATCAGCTGAGTGAACTGGGTGCTGGGGTTGCTAGGCAACAACGAGGGTCTGGACATGCCTAGGGGATGAGGCTCCCAGCAGGGCTGGTGGATAAAGAGGCCCCCGGCCCGGCCGGTGTGGCTCAGTGGTTAAGCATCACCCCTTATACCAAGAGGTCACTGGTTCGATTCCCGGTCAGAGCACACGCCCGGGGTGTGGGCTCCATCCCCAGTAGGGGCGTGCAGGAGGCAGCCCATTGATGTTCCTATCTCTCTCCTTCTCCCTTCCTCTCTCTCTACATCAATACAAACACTTTATCTTTAAAGAGGCCCACAGGCACGAGGTGGGATTGAGCGCTGCCTGGGCAGGTGTGGAGGGAGGCCATGGCACAGGGACTGCAGGGCGTGGCAAGGGCATCACCGAAACAGCCAGGCCCCGGTGCAGCCCGGGCAGGAGGCAGGTGAGTGCAGGAGGTGATGGGGCTGAGAAAACAGGGAAGGGTGTCGCGACGGAGACCCAGGAACATGGAAGGCAGAGGGTCCCCGGGGCCGGACCGGAGCTGCCACCAGGGGCCGGCGGGAACGGAGACGCAGGGACAAGGAAGGCAGAGGGTCCCCGGGGCCGGAGCTGCCACCAGGGGCCTGCGGGCTGCGATGTGCCCGTCGGGGAGGGTGAGGGGGGCCTTACTGGGGTAGTTCCGGCAGCCTCCCGCGGTGGAGCCCCGCCTCCAGTTCCCGTCCATCTTGGTGAGCTTCCACTTCTTGTAGCTGTCGGCCGTGAGCGTGTCCGGAGTCAGGTTGCAGATCTCCAGGCGGGAGTACTGCCTCAGGAAGTCGCTGAAAGACATCCTGGCAAAGGAGGGGCCCGGGCATCGGGGGTTACAAGCGGGCACACCCATCATCTTAACCAGGGCCCGGCAGAGCAGCCAGGGGGAGCCCCCAGACGCGGAGGATGAAACGAGACAGCACACGGGCACTTGCTTGGTAAATGGCAAGGTGTCTGCAGAGGGAGGTGGCCACAGAGTGGCACAGACACACACACACACGTGTGTGTAGGCCTATTGAGCTACGGGACCAGTTTCTTTTATTTTTATTCATTCATTTTTTTTTGTTTTGTTAATCCTCACTGTGGGTTTGTGGGATTTTTTCATTGATATTTAGAGAAAGTGGAAGGGAAGGGGAGAGACTCAGAGAGAAACATCGATGTGAGTTGATGTGAGACATACCAATTGGTTGCCTCCTGCATGTGCCCAATTGGGGCCAGGGATCAAGCTGCAAATGAGATACATGCCCTTGACCTGGAATTGAACCTGGGGCCTGTTAGTCCTCAGGTCGATGCTCTATCCGTGTGTGTAGGCCTATTGAGCTACGGGACCAGTTTCTTTTATTTTTATTCATTCATTTTTTTTTGTTTTGTTAATCCTCACTGTGGGTTTGTGGGTCTGACGCTCTAATGACTGAACAAAACCAGCCAGGGTCAAGGGACCAGCTTCTTGAGGAGATGGAGGACCCTCCAGAGAAGTGGGGGAGAGAAGAGAGAAACATCGATGTGAGAGAGACACATCGATTGGTTGCCTCCTGCACACGCCCCGACCCGGGCAGCCTGCAATGGCGGTACGTGCCCTTGACACCGGAATCGAACCCGAGACCCTTCAGTCTGTGGCTGACGCTCTAACGACTGAGCAAAACCAGCCAGGGTCAAGGTTCCAGCTTCTTGAGGAGATGGAGGACCCTCCAGAGAAGTGCCCCGTCTTCTCTTGGGATCTGAACACAACCCCGTGAACCTGCTCAGCTCTGAACCCCCGGCGGAGAGGACACACTGAGGAAGAGCTTTGAGAGTTTTTGCGTTCAGGGTCTTGTGATTTAAAACAACAAACCCCGGATCTCATGCCCGGGGGCCCTCGCCACATAATCTCACTGAGTTTCTGGTAAAGATCGCGGGGCAGACCCCCTTCCCCGAAGCCTCTGATCATCTCACCAGAATTCTCCGTCTTCGTGCCGTCGGATCAGCCTTTCCCTCACCTCTGGGTCCACGGTGTTCCAGTTCGGGCAACTGGGAAACCGAGCCCCGGGAGATGCATTAGAAACTAATACAGGGCGACCCCAAGGCTCCCCCAAACCGAGGACCAGGAACGGGCTGTCTGGCCTCCGAGGGCCCAGACGCCAGTAAGGGAGGGAGGTGGCGAAGACGTGCGGGGAGCAAGGTGATTCATTGAAGGGAGAGGGAGAGAGAGAAACATCCATGATGAGACAGAGTCAGTGATGGGCTGCCTCCTGCACGCCCCCTCCTGGGGATGGAGCCTGCAACCCGGGCATGTCCCCTGACCGGAATCGAACCGTGACCTCCTGGTTCATAGGTCGACGCTCAGCCACTGAGCCACACCGGCCGGGCACTGGCAGCAATTTCAAGGGGTCACTGACAATCTGACAGCTGACCCGTGGGAGTGGCCAGGGAGAAGGTGTTAGAGCTGCAGGTGCTGGGTGGCGGCAGAGGAGGGGGAAGGTCACGTGAGGGGCTCACCTGGGACCCAGCCGCAGGTGTAACCCCACCAGGGAGCCCCAGAAATCACTGGAAGGAAGGGCTTCTCTCTGGTCTTAGGCACAAAGTTTACGTCCTGGGACCAGAACAAGCGCTTGGGGGAAGAGAGGGGTATTTTCCCCCTGAAGGTCCAATAGCAGGAGAACCTGAGCGAGGAAGGGGCGAAGCGTGGGAGGATGAGAGGAATGAGCACCAACAGGGGCCCTGGGCCTTATAAAGGCACCGGTGGCTGGGATGCGCTGGTTAAAAGCGCCTTCGAGGGACCACCTGCCCCGTGGACCCCACTCGGTGTGGCCTGTGCTCCCGGGGCTCATGCCCCTCCTTTCCCCAGAGGTCCCAGCAGGACGCACCCGCCCAGCCCCAGCTGCGCTCCTCACTTGTCATTCCACTTCCCGGTCCACTCCACCTCTCCCCAGGGGTTCCGGATGCGGATCAGCTTCTCCAGGCTTCCTCGGCTTTCCACCTGCAGAGGGGAGGGAGGGAGGGGGAGAGCTCAAGCCAGGCCTGGGGGTTCTCGGGCCCAAAGCCACCTCCTTGAGCCCCGGTGGTTGGGTCCATGTTATAAGGGGCCAGAGGGGGAGGGGGTACGGGATCCACAAGAAGGCGGGCTCTCAGGACCCCGCGCTCCGAGAGCCCGGGGCACACATGCACTTGTTCTGGACTCTGCGTTGACACTTGACCTCTGAGCCTGAGGTTAACCGGCTGTGATAGGATGCATGTGTCACAGGAGCTCAGGGAAGCTGGTGGCTGGTGATAAGCAATGCGGTGCATGGCTGTTGACTGAATCCTGGATGGGGGGGGGCACTCTATAAAGGATATTTGGGGGAGACATACACAGGGAGCCTATAGGAGATGCTGTTATTGAGTTAGTGTTTGTTTTTTTAATTATTTTTAAAAAATATATTTTATTGATTTTTTACAGAGAGGAAGGGAGAGGGATAGAGAGTGAGAAACATCGATGAGAAAGAAACATTGATCAGCTGCCTCCTGCACACCCCCTACCGGGGATGTGCCCGCAACCAAGGTACATGCCCTTGACCGGAATCGAACCTGGGACCCTTCAGTCCGCAGGCCGACGCTCTATCCATTGAGGCACACCGGTTAGGGCTAGTGTTTATTTTCTTAATGTTTGTTTATGTCATAGAACTGAAGTGTCGTAACATCTTCAAGTTACGTTCAAATGGCTCAGAAAAGAGGACCCACGCACAGGGAGGCCAGCCAGACGGGGCAGGGCCTTAGCAATGCTTGAATCTCGGGAAATCGCCTTTGTGGCTGACTATACTCGTCTTTCAACTTTTCTACGGACCCGAAATTTTCAAAATAAAAAGGTACGTGTTGGGGGTGGTGGGGAGGATAAAACAAAAATTCAAGGTAAAGAGAAAACCTCTGGGCATACGGGAAAGACCTGGGGTCTGGTCTGGGTTTAACAGTGAAAGAATGTTTAATAATAACAATAATAATAACAGCAGCAGCAAGTACAGCTGCGCACGTCGACACAGTGTTTCAGCCACAGTCGGAGCACTTGATGCACGGTAACGTGACTGAATCACCATGACAACCTCACAGGGGGTGTTATTCTCTCTAATCTAAAGAGGAGGAAACCCAAGGGGCAGCCTTTAGGTGGCTCGCTGGGACCACACAGCTGGCCAGCGGCAGCGCCAGGTTTGCACACTGAGTGAAAGCCCGTTGGAGGGTGTGAAACACTACGCACAGGAAAGTGTCCCTTCTTTCTTGCAACTGGCCCCTGAGAGTAGGTGGTTCTAAAACCGAGTAAAATCCCAGCGCAGGACTCGCAGCCTGCGGCCGGCAGAGGGCGGCACCGGGCAGCAGGGGGCAGCAGAGGGCGGCACCGGGCAGCAGGGGGCGGCAGAGGGCAGCACCCGGGACCCAGGTTCTGGAAGGGACCGGCCAGGACGCCCAGCGAGTCCTGCCTGGATCTCAGGAATGCGAGGCCTATTCAGAAAACAACTGCGGGAACTCGCTCCCCGCACCCCCAATCCCGCCCCCAGCCCCGGGCAGTCACAGCCAAAAGCGTGCTTTTGCCTTTGTATTCGGCGCAGCGGTTCTCAACCTGTGGGTCGCGACCCCCTCAGGAATGCGAGGCCTATTCAGAAAACATCTGCGGGTACTCGCTCCCCCACCCCCCGCCCCCAGGCCCTGGGCAGTCACAGCCAAAAGCGAGCTTTTGCCTTTGTGTTAGGCGCAGCGGTTCTCAACCTGTGGGTCGCGACCCCTTTGGGGGTCAAACGACCCTTTCACAGGGGTCGCCTAAGACCATCGGAAAACACAATTACATATTGTTTTTGTGATTAGTCATTATGCTTTCATGATGTTCAATCTGTAACAATGAAAAGACATCCTGCATATCAGATATTTACATGACGATTCATAACAGCAGCAACATGACAGTGATGAAGTAGCAACGAAAATAATGTTATGGCTGGGGGTCACCACAACGTGAGGAACTGTATGAAAGGGTCGCGGCCTTAGGAAGGTTGAGAACCACTGTGTTAGGGAGCGAACCCCCTGAAAATCCCCGCGGGCGTTACCTCCTCGGCTCCGGTGACGGAGTACGCGTGCCCCTTCACCAGCTTCTGGTATGTGATGGCCTCCGAGTCCGCAATGCTGGTGATCTGGGAACGCGGGGGGGTCAGCCGGGTTGGGCGCACGCTGCCTGCCCCATCCCTCCCCCATCGCTCACTGGGACTCGGATGCG